GGCCTTGCCCTTTATCTTTGTCGTTGGCAAACATTGAGGGAGAGAATACTTCAAAAGTAATATTTCTTTAGATTCATCACATTCCATGGTCGCATTACAAGTTTTCCATCCATGCCTTCTAATTTGTATGACCCGGCGCCCCCGATTGATATCACTTTGTAAGGCCCTTCCCAGTTAGGTCCCATTTTTCCTTCTGTTGGATCACGGGTATTGGTCGTTACCCTTCTGAGGACCAGATCGCCTATTCGGAATTCTCGCGCCTTGACCCTTCTGTTGTATAGTTGGGAAATCTTCTCCTGATACTTAGTTATCCTCAAGGCGGCTGCCTCCCTTCTTTCTTCCACTAGATCCAAATCCAATCCAAGTTGACGGTCATTCCCCCCTTCGTCGAAAGCTTGGGTCCTTATGGTCGGGAGCCCTACTTCGAGGGGTATAATTGCCTCCATTCCGTATGCCAGGGAGTATGGGGTTTCCCCTGTCGAGGACCGAGGGGTGGTCCTGTACACCCACAAAATGTTTAATAGTTCTTCCGCCCATTTTCCCTTGGCTTTCTCCAACCTCTTCTTGATCCCATTGATAATTGTCTTGTTGGAGGCCTCTGCCTGCCCGTTGGCTTGAGGATAGGCAGGGGTGGAGTAGAAATTACGGATCCCGAGTTGCTCACAGAAAGACTTGAAACGCCCGCCGGTGAATTGAGTCCCGTTATCCGACACCAGTGCCCGGGGAATCCCAAATCTGATGATTATGTTCTCCCAGACGAACTTTTTGGCATCTATGTCGCGGATATGAGTCAACGGCTCCGCCTCTACCCACTTGGTGAAATAATCTGTGGCCACAATGAGGAACTTCCTATTTCCCGGAGCCTTAGGCAGGGGTCCAACTAAATCGAGCCCCCACTGGGCGAATGGCCAAGGGCTGGTCAGGGGGTGTAAGTCCCCCGCGGGTTGCCTGATTGCAGGGGAGAACTTCTGACACTGGTCGCATTTTTGGACGTATGCGCGCGCATCCCTTTGCATTTGCGGCCACCAATATCCCTGAGACATGATGCGGTGTGCCATTGATCGCCCCCCAGAGTGCCCCCCGCATATTCCTTCGTGCACCTCATAGAGAAGGTCTTCCACCTAGTCCTCTTGGACGCATAATAAGTACGGTCCTGAGAAAGACCTCCGATACAGCTTCTGATCCGGAGAGACCCAAAATCTCGGGGCTTTGAGTTTTATCTTCCTTGCCTCTTTTGAACACTCCGGGAGGTCTCCTGTTGTTAGGAACTTGAGAAAAGGATCAATCCAGCTGGGCGGCTTGTGTGCGTCCTGGACGGCCATTGCCTCGGGAGCATGGTCTATGCAGGATGCGGGAAGATATTCTATGGTGATCCTGCGCGACTGAGAGGACTCCACTGCCGAGGCTAGACAAGCCAGGGCGTCGGCATGCGTGTTCTTGTCTCGGGACACTTGTTTGATCTCAATCCTTCCGAATCTTCGGATTACAGTTGTCGCCTGGTGATGGTAAGCCTTCATCCTAGGGTCCCTTGTCTCAAACTCTCCGTTAACTTGATTGACTACTAGCATAGAATCACAATGCACGATTAAATCGGTAACTCCAGTCGCCTCAGCTAACCGAAGTCCTGAGATGAGGGCCTCATATTCAGCTTCATTATTCGAAGCTTTGAATCCCAGCCGAATGGCCTGCTCCTCAATAATCCCATCTGGAGAGGTCAGCAAGATACCGATCCCAGACCCCTTACTATTTGACGAATCGTCCACACACAAAAGTCATGAAGATCCTTCACAATTCGTTGGAGACGCTAAGTCGGGAGGAGGCGGTCCTTCTAGAACGGGATGCTCCCCCGAAAACTCAGCTATGAAGTCTGCCAATATTTGACCTTTTATCGCAGTTCGGGGTTTGAAATGAATGTCGTGCTCCCCCAACTCTATTGCCCACTTGGAAATCCTTCCGAAGAGTTCCGCTTTCCTCAAGATCGCTTTTAAGGGCTGATCGGTAAGGACAGTGATTGGGTGCGCCTGGAAATAATGCCGCAATTTTCTTGCAGTGGTGACCAGGGATAGAGTCAGTTTCTCTAGGGGTAGATATCTTGTCTCTACGTCCAAGAGCGTCTTGCTTATATAATAAATCGACTTCTGGCGGTGCTCATGCTCATGAATAAGTACCCCGCTTACCGCAAACTCAGATACTGCGNGTTCATGCTCACAAATAAGTACCCCGCTTACCGCAAACTCAGATACTGTCAAGTACACAGCATCTCCCCCTGGATGGGGACGGATAAGGTCGGAAGAGTCCTTAGGTATTCCTTGATTCCAGCCAGGGCGTCCTCACACCCCCGGCTCCACATATCCTTCCCAGCACTCTTGATTGCTCCGAAAAAG